TAGATAGATAAAAAAGAAAAGAACTCTTCTCCCAAATAATGAACTTTTAAATATCGAAGAAATTTACACGTCTTTTTTCTTTTATTTTAAAAACAAGGTCAAGGGTGCGTTAATGCGAAAAAGCAACAAAACGTTTGATGTCTCAATTATCGCTAGATGCCTACTTTATAATCGAATCATGAGGTCGGAAATCAGGTCGGCTGACCAACATTAATTAAAAGGTAATGCGGGCCGATTGATCTTCAACCCTCTAATTCTGGCCGTACGTTAGGCACCACCTAATATGAATTTCTGAGATACTCAAAATGATTTTACTTTAGGTTAAGTTTCAATTCTTAATAATTATATATAATTTCATTGTAAAAAAAAAAAAAAAAAAAAAAATTGGCAATCTATGATCGGAAATTAGAGAAGACGCCGAATTTCCTTTCCGGGATCTAACTTATCTATGGATCCTCAGGAGTTTGTCTAACCGGATTTAGTATTTTTTAACAAAGCAGCATTTTAAAGATGGGATAATGCTAATTTTTTTTATTTTTTTTTTTATTCAGATTCATGACTAAGGATTAACGGTTTGACGCGTCTTTTTCGCGTACGTGACCAACCGGATAATATAAACAAAGATAAGAATAATTGATTGATTTCGCGCAAAGAACAAGACCATCACATTAGCTGGTGTTTCTAGTCGGATGCATATATGAAAACCCTGATAGAGACGAAAATTACGCAGTATCATTTAAAATGGGAAAGATTGATATCTTTAGATCATATTAAATGTCAAGAAAATGATCGATCGTTCACATGAGATTGATTACATACATTTAACTATTTAACATGAATGACCTATCTAACTCGTTATTTATCTCACTTATAAGGTTTGAACGATGTTAAACAACATCAAAAATATATTCAAGCTACTTGGAAAATTAAAACCTGTTCAGCATGATAAAAGTTTCGCTATAATCGAACTCGTATCGGTACCACCAATGAGACAATTCAAATCACATGAATCGTAAATCTTATCCCGTGGTTTATAATATAACATAATCACCTCCTTAACCTCTTCATTCACCTAACGCTAATACGAAAATCCTGGCATTCCTGATATGCATTCTTCTGTGCTCTGTAATAAACACATATGTGATTTGGTCATCATCAGTGAATCTCAAGACGATGCGGATTAGTCGTAAAGAACACTTGCCTGTTTTCATGAAAATAATATATCACCCATTTTTATAATTGTTATGTAAATAGTGAGAAATGTAAGGGCTGGACCCGTCAAAAGTAACACTACCAGATATTACTGGATATCTGATGTATAGTTCTACACATTATACTCACTTGGGTTCAAATATCTTTCATCCATTGCATTGAAATCTTACCAAGACCCAACCCCCAGAAAAATTCCCATCCAAAATAATTCAATAATTCAAAATTTATAATATATATATATACATATATACGGTATATATGTATTTCTTTTATAAAAAAATAAAACACAATAATAAGATTGACTCATACGGTAAAATGTCTTACTATATACCTCGTTTATTACCTAGTTATGGACGTAACGATAAAGAATCCCTATCGTCAATCATGATACTCATCGATTGGTCAGATAATCTCTATATGAGGCAAACCCACGTGTCAAATTAAATAATATTATACCTGATTGGGGTATAGCGTATAAACGTAACCTTTTCAAATTTCGCGTTTTATCGTTTCCCAAAATGTCAGAGTTTCTATATCCTTCTGATAAAGATTTATATTCACTTTTATCTCTTACCTCAGAAGCTACCCCAGTTGATATAAAAAAAGCTTATCATCGCCTAGCTCTTCAGTATCATCCTGATAAACACACTAATTCTACACCTGAGCAACGCGAAGAAGCAACCCGAAAGTTTCAGAGCTTAGGATATGCTTATGCTGTACTTAGCGACCCTAAGAAACGTGAACGTTATGATAAGACCGGTGATGTTGAGGGTTTCGAAGGCTTTGATGATATGGGAAAGGAAGGTTGGGACGCTTTCTTTAAGGAACTGTGGTCTGGCGTAGTGAACTCAAAATCTATAGAAGAGTTTCGTGTTGAGTATCAAGGTATTCTTTTAAGAAAACTTATTTTCTTTTTTTCTGTGAATTTAGTCGTTTAAACTTTATACTTGCTTGTATGTTAGGTTCTTCTGAAGAACGTTCTGACCTCATTGATGCTTACAAAAAATATAAGGGTGATATGGACCTCATTATGCAACATATCGCATGTGGTAGCATTGAAGATGAACCACGTTTCATTGAAATACTTCAAGGTGCTATCTCTTCAAAAGAAATTCCTTCATACAAAAAATTCGCTTCTTCCACTGCCTCGGCCGCAAGAACGAAGCGTCGAAAAGAAGCCGAACGTGAAGCAAAAGAAGCTGAAGAAATGGCTAAAATGTATGGCTTGGACCAGAAATTGCTGAAAAATAACGATGAAGAACAACTAAGACAGCTTATACTTGCAAGAGGTGAGAAACGAATGAATGCATTGGTGGAAAGTCTGGAAGCTAAATATGGAGGAAGTAAACCGAAAAAACAAAAATCGACCAAGGAAAAACAAAAGACCTCTAAAAAACAAAAGGAGATATGTATATCAGAACATCAATAAAATATATCTAATATTGTCAAGTTATAGAATTTTATATAGGCTTATTCCAAATTTAAATCTATTCTTCTATAACTAGCTTAGATTTTTTTATAATAAGGCTAATCACAACACAAACATATCAGAGCAGCTCATAATTTTTTTCATATGTAATATTTATATTTTTTATAATAAACTTTATAGCCTTATAAGTTTTTCGAATCAATTTTCTTAATTTTACTAGTTATATTTATAGTGTTTAGCAATATATGTTTTAATTATATTTATAATATGTAAAATTTTTTTAACTTTAAAGCTAAGGCCATACAAACTTAATAAATTGGTTCCCATAACCCGGCCGGGTCAAATTTCGCAAAATTCTTAAAAAAATTTTGATTATATTTACTATCCGAGTGAAATTTTTTTTGGAAGTTTATAAAAATTTTTATATGCTTTTTATATATAAAAATTTTTGAAATAAAATTAAAAACCGGGTTGCCGGGTCATTTTTCAAATTTTATGTTATGAGAACCAAAAAATTAATTTTGTATGGCCTAATGTTAAAATTTAATTTTTTATCATTTATATATTATAAAATCTATTCATGGTGTTTTATATTTATTAGATATTTTTTGTTTTTTATAAATTTTGTATATACTGTATATATATATATATTGGCTAGTGCATATATGAAAATTAAAATTTTATATTTTTTTATATTAAATAAAGTAAATTCTAAGTTATCTTTTAATATATTTTTTATTTTTATTTTTTGCTTTAGTGATTCTTTTTTTATTATTTAAATTGGTATAGAATATTACAATAGAGACAAATATACCTTATAATCTATTTTCATCTGTACTAATAAGAATTACTTGATTTTGATAAGCTTCATTAAGTAAGTTCTTATCTAATATTCTACAAACTAACAGATTATATGCTCTGCCAAAGTTTGCAAGAATATGCCGATCTGGCTCTGTTAATAAGTCTCAAATAATGGTAGTGGCATATATCATTATAAATATTCGCTATTGGTCTGCTGTATACCCAGAAAATCCTTCTCCTGTAGCAATTTTATAAGGAATTCTCCCGATATCTGATGGAATTTGCAATTTTTTTGCTCTTTTATCCATAAGTTTAAGACTATCAGAAGTTAATTTTTTACCATCTATCCAAAGACGCATAACAATCCACTTTGCAATTCCCAGAAATAAACAATGCATTGGATTCACAATTACATGTTTGATTGGGTTAAAATAAGGAAGATGATGAAGTTCTGACCATCTCATCAGTTTTTTAGACAGGTAATGCTTTCTTTGATCTTTAGTCTTGTATTGTAACCATTCATATGCATCATATTTAATTTTATCAATATCATACTCCATAAACCAGTCATCTATATCTTCAAATCCTCCAAAGTTAGATTGATGTCTAGCATCATATTGTACATGTTTTTCATATTGAAAACATGCAATCCTTGCTGATATTTGTCCACATAACTTTCTAGCAGCTGGAATATCACATGAGTAGTATATAATAGCATATTTAATTTTTTTGCCTATAGAAGATTCATATGTGGGGATTTCTATTCTACCCTACAATTCAAGTAATTGATTAACCAAAGGTTCAAGATAATGATTAATATAATGTGTTTTAACTTCTTTAGACCCTGGCAATAATGCCAAGGTTAGTATATTTTGCAGCTTGAATCTGAGTTCACAAGGCAAATTACAAATAACTGCATATATTGCATCGGTAGAATATGTAGAATTTTGGAAAGGACTAAACCAGTCTAGATTAATCATAAGGTCAAGATGTGTATCAATATGCTCTGAAGTAAAGAAATTTGTATCTTGATCTTTAAATATTTTTCAAATATTATCTTCATAGATATCGGCAAGATAATTATTGTTTATTTTTCTCTTAACCCATTTTTTGCATAACTTCTCAAAACCACTTTGACTATATAATAACTGGAGTTAATTTTGAATATTTATTATTGGATAAGTAAACAAAAGGTGATACAATATTCCATCCTTGGTAGGTACCTCTTTTGCTAATTGTTGATTGCAAAGTTGTCTCATCTTAGACATCGGGTGGTTAGGATATTCTACAAAATTACAATAAAGAAACATCGAGATTTGTTCAGGCTTTTTTGTTGTTACTTTATCAAGATCATACAACTTGTTACATGCTGAGCATGTTGTATAGTTATTTATGCGTAGACCTACATCAGCAAAATTTTTAAGCAGATATATATCGATATATAGCAGTTAATCGATATGTATCGATTAAAAATTATCGATA